TATGACGCAGGCTATTATGATATCGACGACATCCGTTTGTTCTTGTTCCGCAAGCTTGCAAAGTACGGTTTTGACACCGAAATAAAGGGGATTCACGTGGAGGCAGACGAGGATGAACGAGAATTTTGTGTCTGGATGCTCTGCCGATCTGAAGAGATGAATGCGAATCCCGATTTGCCGTCGCTTTCTGAAGACAGGGCTGCCCTTCTCCGACGTTCCTACGTCAACATGATTTTGGAGGGCGAGAAAGAGAAAATGAAGGAGCTGGCCGATGTATATATTCAACTCTCGCCGATGTGGAGGTCGAGCAACATTTCGATGACATGACCCCGGAGCAGATTCGGAGCAGGGTTCAAGCCTACATTGAGGAAAAGGCTAAATCGACCGACAAGGAGGTCGAAGTCGTCAAGGTCGTCACGCCGGCTGAGGGTGACTCAGATAAAGTGCAGGATCCTCGGGATGAGTTTGTTCCAGTGTCAGATGGGGCCATCGAGACTGCTACCAAGGCTAAGGAGGTGCAGGTCTTGGAGCGATTTTCGCCTGGGACAGAAGTCGGAGAAGGTAGCGGTACGGGCGACACTTTGGAGAAGGTGAATGACGCGGCATGAAGTTTTAGAAGTATTATATAATGTTGCATTATGAATGTTTGAAGTAAAATATCGGGGCGCCAGCATGTTGGCGTTCTTAGTAGGAAATATATGAATATATAATCGGGGATATCAGGTAGCTAAATCCCTTAGTAGGAAATATGTAAGGGTTTTCCCAACTTTTTTTTTTTAAGATATATATATGAAGTGTTTGCATAATATTTGTCTTGATTTATGTTTGTTGTACTAACTTCAGCAATTTTTCGACCAAGTGTTTCGAACTCGGTACGGATTTTAAAATGAGTTACCGCAACTTGGATATAGTCATATTATTAACCAAGTTGTGGATTTTTTGTAAAACTAACTTCCGAGTTCCACTTTAGTCTTTCGTAATATTTTCAGCCACTAGTGTAAGTCGGTTATGCGAACTTACTAGGAATTCGCATGACTTAACACATGTTTGGGCTGTGCATGAAATAAAAATAGGGTTCACCGAACTTTGTCATAGATCGATTATGGAATGGCTCCAACCGACTTATATCTTTTGTATTCGGTAGTTTTCGGGACCCGCCAAATCATGTTCGTTGAAGTGGCGTTTGACGAGCTTCAATCCCCAACCAAAACATGCGTAGGAGTTGGGTAGATTACGGGGTATCAGCAAGACCGAGTGTCGCAATGCTTACATCGGTACAAAATATTCATAGAACCGAGTTTCAGGGTATTTTACATCGGTATTGAGCTGCTGCTCGAATTTTCAAAACGAAAGCCGATAGGCCTTCAGTACATCAAAAGGGTTACTTCGTACATTCAGTGAAGCAAAAGAGAGGGGTCCGTGCCAAAAGAGGGTCGGCTATCTGACTTCGGACCGTTCATTGATAGAACTTCTTTAGGAAAACAGCATTCCATGGATATTGATGCGGAGTTCCATCAGGGTGAGCGATTCGGTAGGCCCCATGAGGTAGGACTTCAATGACTTGAAAAGGTCCTTCCCACCTCGGTCTGAGTGGGCCGGGGTCCGGCCCCATTACGCGTTTAAGGACCAAATCTCCAACTCGGAATGAACGAGGCTTAAGTTTAGAATTGACATATCTTTCACTTCTATGTTTGTAAGCGGCATTTTTGAGTTCAGCACAGGTGCGATGTTCGTCAAGCAGGTCCAAATTAGCTTTCAGGTTTTCCGAGTTGGACTCTTCGGTAAAATGTTGAACTCGGTATGTCGGTTCACCAAGCTCGACTGGGACCACGGCTTCTGAGCCGTAGGTTAAGGAAAATGGGGTTTCGCCGGTAGAAGTTCGAGTTGTAGTCAGATAGGCCCATAGGACGTGTGGCAACTCTTCAGGCCAATCTCCTTTGGCGGCGTCAAGTCGGACTTTGAGGCCGTTTTTTATGAGCTTGTTCACAGCTTCGACTTGCCCGTTGGATTGCGGGTGATAAGGCGAAGAGAAAAAGTGCTTGATATTATATTCTTCGCACAAGGATTCAAATCGCTTGCCTTCGAATTGTTTCCCGTTATCGGTAATGATGGAGTTCGGTACTCCGAAGCGGCAGATGATTGATTTCCATACGAAGTCAATGAGTTTGTGTTCGGTTATCGTGACTATCGGTTCGTCTTCGGCCCACTTAGTGAAATAATCAACGGCTACAATGGCAAATCGGACGCCTCCTTTCCCGGTCGGCAAGGGACCTATGAGATCGATTCTCCATTTGGCAAAAGGCCATGGACTGTAGATTGATTTGAGCTCCTCGGGAGACTGGTGGATGTTAGGTGCGAACACTTGGCATTTCGGACACTTACGAACCCATGCAGCGGCGTCGGTTTTTAAGGTCGGCCAATAATAACCTTGTCGTAAAACTTTGTAAGATAAGGCCTGAGAACTGGGGTGACTTCCGCAAATTCCTTCATGGACTTCTTCTAGAATATATCGTGAATCAGATTCATTTACGCATTTTAAAAGCGGGACGGAATATCCTCTCTTAAACAAAGTTCTATTGTCCAATGTATACCGAGCTGCTCGAATCCGAAGTGTCCGAGCTTCTTTTGGATCCGGGGACAAGGCCCCAGTTTCTAAATAGTGGATAATAGGATCCATCCAAGTTGGCGGCTTTTGGGATGTTACCAGATTGATTGCCGCGACTTCGGTAAATGCGGTTGACGGTCGTTCTTGTTTACCGACTTGGACATACTCCATGTTCTCCATTCCGGTACTCGAGGCCAGCCGGGACAAAGCGTCTGCTTGAACATTAAGAGTTCGGGGAATATGTTCAACGTCAACGGAGAACTTTGATAATTTTCGCTTTGCCAAAGAAAGATACGGTGTCAACCGAGGTTCTTTGACTTCATACGAACCGTTAATCTGGTTGACAAGGAGTTGGGAGTCTGAGAAGACTTTGAGGTGCTTTACGTTCATGGATTCAGCCAAATTTAGTCCGGATAGCAAGGCTTCGTATTCGGCTTCATTATTTGTTGCCGGGAAAAGAAACTTCACTGAGTGACAGAATAATCGGTTTTCCGGGTCCGCCAGGACTATTCCGGCACCCGCTCGGTTGACTGTCGAGGAACCGTCGATATAAAGAACCCACGGTTCATCGTCGTGGTGAATTGTTATAGCCAGAGTGAATTCGGCAATGAAGTCGGATAAGGCTTGTGCCTTGATCGCGGTCCTCGGTTGGTAGTGGATGTCAAACTGTCCAAGTTCAATCGCCCATTTGATCATGCGCCCCGAGGTGTCAGGTCGGTGCAGGACTTGGCGCAATGGATACGAAGTGCGGACGGTTATAGTATGTTCTTGAAAATAAGGTCGCAATTTCCGAGCAGCGATGACAAGCGCAAACTCTAATTTTTCCATAGGAGGGTAGCGCAGTTCGGCGTCATGTAGGGCTTTGCTAATGTAATAAACAGGCGATTGTAGCGTTCCTTCTTCACGTACCAACACAGCGCTGCTCGCAGAATCGCTGACTCCGAGGTATAAAAACAGCATCTCCTCGGGTCTTGGTTTTTGTAACGTTGGTGGAGAGGCAAGTGTCTCCTTGATGCTGATGAGAGCTTTTTGACATTCTTCGGTCCATTCAAAGCACTTTCCTTTTTTGATTGCTTCGAAGAAAGGTTTGCAACGGTCTGTGGATTTGGAGATGAACCGGTTGAGAGCAGCAAGTCGGCCAGTTAGGGCCTGAACACCCTTAACCGAAGTCGGGGGAGTTAGGTCTTGAATGGCTTTTATCTTGGCCGGGTTGGCTTTAATTCCGCGCTGGCTGACCATATAGCCCAGAAACTTTCCTGATTTAACTCCGAAGGTGCATTTCTTGGGATTTAAGACCATGGAGTACGATCGGAGAACATCAAACATATCTTGAAGGTGTGTTATATGGTCAGATGCGTGCACCGACTTGACGAGCATGTCGTCGACGTAAACTTCCATAGTATGACCAATCATCGTGGCAAACATTTTGTTGACAAGACGTTGATAAGTGGCTCCAGCGTTTTTCAACCCAAACGACATCATGGTATAACAGTACAAGCCTCGTGCTGAATAAAACGAGGTGTGTTCGGAGTCCTCGGGATCCATAGGAATTTGATTATAACCGGAGTAAGCATCCATAAAACTCATTAATTCGTGTCCAGACGTGGCGTCAACCGTGTAATCTATGTGTGGGAGTGGGTAACTGTCCTTGGGACACGCTTTGTTCAAGTCGGAAAAATCAATACACAGCCTCCACAGACCATTGCTCTTTTTGACAAGAATGGGATTTGAGACCCATGTCGGGTATCTGGCTTCTTTGATGAATTTGTTGTCGATGAGTTTGTTGACCTCCTCTTCCAGTGCTTTCTATCGATCTGGCCCCAGCTTTCTTCGTTTCTGAACAATAGGCCTGATGGTTCGATCGAGATTTAACTTATGACTAGCGACACCGGGGTCGATGCCCTTCATATCTTCGTGTTTCCATGCAAAAACATCAGAATTGCGTTTAAGGAATGAAATAAGTTCTGACCGAAGAGGCTCTTGGAGATGACTCCCGATGCGCACTTATTTGTGGAAAATTGGTTCATCGAGGTATATTAATTCTACTTCTTCTCCAGGTTCGGCTCGATCACTTCGGTTTTTTTCTTTAAATTGAGCTCTTGGGTCCAACTCATCTTCTTCAAGGATAGGTTCCTTTCTAGGCCGGCGACCTCGGTCTTCGGTCAAAGGATCCGAGGTGGGAAGAGCACCGACGTTGTTGTTTGGTTCTTCGGACACCGTGTTGTCCGAGACGTTTGGTAGTGGAGAATTTTCACTATTGCTCGTCGAGGTAGAATGGACTCTGTTGGGTGGTATGAATGTGATAAGTTCTCGAGCTTCTCTCTGGTCTCCAAAGTGTGTCCCTTCACCCCGTGTAGTCGGGAACTTTAGTGCGTAATGAAAGATCGAAACCGCAGCTCGAAGTTTATACAAAGCTATTCTGCCGATGATGGCATTGTACTCATTGTTGATATCCAGAATCTTGAAAGTTTCCATGACGAGCTTAGTGACGTTCTCCGAAGTGCCGAATCTGACAGATAAAGTGATATCGCCGATAGGCTTCGAAATACTTCCATTGAACCCTTGTATCTGATCATTGCAAGGTTGGATGTCGGCGGGATCAAGACCCATTTTGTCAAAAGCTTTTAACATCAAAATGCTCGAATAGGCCCCCATATCTACCATGACGCGATGAACTGGAATTCCGCATATAGGGACGGTGATAACAAGTGCATCAGAATGAGGATGTGCGAAATGATTAGCATCCTCCATATTGAAGGTTATGGGACAGTTCCGATTGTTGAGGATGTCTCTCAAATCAGTAGTGTACACTTGTTTGCCGGAGTTATACGCTTGTCGGGCATAGGCTTTGATTTGTCGACGGGACAATGTACTCCGGGAGTTATTGGTGTTGACACGGTGGACGGTGATTTGCATCGGTTCAGGAGATCAATCTCGTTTACGTCCTCGGCAGTTCCAACAAAGTGTGAATCGGGCGTTTCCGAGGTGAACATAAATACTTCCTTGTCTTCTTGTCGGATGCATTTTGGCATAGCGCCTCGGTCCTCCTCGTCATCTTCATCATATGATTCAATCTGGTGTCCTGGACC